CATAGCCAGCGACGACTGGACCCTTACTGAACATAATTGGCCGCTACCGTGCACGCTAGCGACGGTACTGGCACATACCCGTACTTCTGGGCGCTGCTGTGCGCCATTGCTAGGTGACTGGCACGCGGTGATGACGGATCGTGTCGTTATCTATTTCCAGGTTGTGAATAAACGCGCACTAGAGCCTTCGTTTATCCACGATAGGTGTATCTAACACACGCACTATCGGCCTTCTCCTAGACACTGTGACTTCAAGACGCTCTAATGGCCTTCTCTCCGACACTGTATGTAAACACGCACTAATGACCTTGTTTAAACACTCGTAAGAACATAAGTTCCCCTCTTAATTGGCTCACCAATTCAATACTCAATTCAACATAAAATAATGATGAGGTACATGAGGTATTTATAGGTGCCAACTACCTCTAATTCTAATCTTAATAGGAAACTAATAAAACAATAAAATATTCAATCATAAGGCAAGTAAATATCCTACTACCATAAAATCCTAAATCTACTAGATCTCCTAATTACTTGACTTGCACTCTAAGAACTTCTAGAAGCTCAAGTCACACGCCTCATGTCTTCGACCGCCTCACGCACGCCGCCTCCGCGCGCGTTGCCTACTCCTTGTGCTGCTAGGCGTCGCGCGCCTTGCCTTGCACGCGCGCGCGCACCTCCCTGCTCGCCTAGTCCTTAGATGACTAGGTCTCGCGCGCCTGCTGCGCCATTCCTATTCCTTGTAGGACCATGCTTCGAGCCCATATCCTCTATTCCTATTCCTACTAGGAATATGCTCCCGATTACGTTTCATGATCTTCCGAGGATTACTCCCGTCACCGATCTTCCACGCGCGTTCTGGCACTCAACTGCTTTTCCTATTCCTGCGAGGATTAGTATTTGCGCCTTGCCTATTCCTACGCGGATTAGGCTTGCCACCCCGGTCTTGATTTGTGCCTCGAGCGTGTCGTCGTGCGCCCCGCGCTCGTCGCCCGGTACTCCTATGCCTACGCTGTCTAGACCATCGCCCGCGTCGCCCCACGCGTCGTTGCCCTTCGTCCGCGCGTCCTTGCCACCTCCGTGCACGCTGCGCCATGCCCTGCGTGGTCCGCTCGCCCATCCACCCCTCGCACTTGCTCGTGCGCCTACGCACACTCGCTGTCCATCCGCCGCAGTCCCTCGCGCGCATCAACCACCCAACATCCACCCCCTGCGCGCTGCTTTGTCTAGCCTCTAGGCGCCATGCGCGTCTACGCCAGTGCGTGTGCGCGCGCCCTTGTCTACTGCCTTGTACACGCCGCTTCTCATGTGCGTGAGTGTCTCGCATACGAGCTCGTACCCATCTTTTAGGCCATGCATGCGTCGTTTTGGCCCTTTTTTCAGCCTCATCGGGTCGTCTCGCCTCTTGGATCTTCTTGTCGTCGGGGCTCGGAACCCACTTCCGTATCATTCCCCTCCTCTTCGAAACTTTCCTTGTCCTCAAGGATTCATCCTTGACCATCCAAACCTCGGACACTCTTTCTTCGATCTCAAGTTGGATCGTCGCGTCCCCTACATCCGTATTGTACCTCCTACGCGTCTCGTCATGGCCTTCGTCAGCCACGGCCAAGATCTCAACTTCAAACATCTCTTCGACCATGATCTTGCTTGCAACATGGATTACCTCGGCTAGCTCGAGCTTATCCTCCCCTTCGATCTCGACCAAGACTTCCCCCTTGACATCGCCCATCGCCTCCTCTTCATCCTTGTCCGTGAACTCGTGGGCGAACAACGGTTCCTCGCACTCGACTTGGTCGGCCTCACACTCGACCGCCTTGTCTTGAACATAGCCCGATAGATCAAACTTAAACAATGGCTCTTCTTCGACGAACTCCTTCATGATCTTGAGTTGTCGTTCGTACTTTTCATTTTGCTCGTACATCTCCTCCAAATACTCTTGCTCCCAAGGGGTTAATTCCCTCTCCAAACTTTCGAGGTATTCAAGATCCTCCCAATCCCATTCAACTAATGGCTCAAACATCATGGTTCTCTCTTTTTTTTTTTTTTTTTGACTCTAAGAATAAAAATTCGAAAAAA